GAACTTTATAAATTAATTTTTAATAATTTCTAATTAATTTTTTATTTAATTTTTAATTATTATCGTATTTTATCGGCTACACACCTCTCCGATAATCCTGGGTCCGTCACAGTACGAAAAGGAGGAACGGGTCAGGCAACGCGAGAGGAGACAATGGTATGTGTGAAATCCTCCAAGACAATGAACGTGAATTTGGCCAGTCTGTGAGCTATCAAAAGCATGAACTTTCATTTAATTCCAATGTGGTGTGCCAGCGAAGATAAGAGTTGGGGGAGCTGATGGGGATGGTTATCATGGAGAAACATGAGAATTAACTATATCTAACTACAATGGTTGGCTGATCCAAGAAACAAATGTTTGTTGGTTTGGTGGATCGTGTTTGTGGGAAACTAAAAAGATGGAAGGTGTGCATTATATCTGTTGCGACGACGGAAGTACTTATTAAGGAAGTAGCTCAGGCCCAATTCTCTTATGCCATGTCAGTGTTTCAGATTCCATATGGAAAAATTGACGAAGCTCACACTCTAATTATGAAATTCCTGTGGGGGCAAGGTGGTGAAGAGAAATGAACAACTTGGGTGAGCAAGGAAGAAATTGTGCAGCTAAAATCTCATGGTGGGATGAGTTTCCTCGACCTTAGAGGACTTTGTTCGGTCCTATTAGCGAAACAACTATTGAGTCTTGCATTGCGGCCCAATTCTTTAATTGTATAGGTATTAAAAGCCATACCATTTTCATAACTTGATAATTGAAGCTCATGTAGTTATCATCCAAATGTTATGTGGAGAAGCTGATGATCTTACATGAATTCTTGTGCAGCAGGCAAGGTTTAAGAAAGCGATGTGCGTAAGGCGAGCGTTGAGGCTCTGCCTTACACCTAGCATGTTTAGGCGTCACCTAGACGTGCCTAAGCGTTAGATGAAAGCGTAGAAAAATATCTCACACTTGCCTAGAATCATAGGTTTTACTAATATCAGTGCATCTACATATCATTTTGAAACTTTCATCAACGAAACATGGTAAAACATAAAACATAGTGTGCAGAATAAGTAATGAAGAAGAAGCTTGAAAAAATCGAAAGAGATTGAGAGCGAAGAAGCACAAAAAAGAAAGAAGACGTTACTCCAAAGATGGTCGTCTCTAACTATATCTTACCCTAACTATGAAGAAATCAAGACCATCCTCACTAGTAGCATATCAAAAGGTATAAAAAAGACATCCTAACATCATTTTGATGCACAACTCAATGCTTACTAGGTGTCACCAAGGCTACAACGTGATCGTGATGTATTCTCCACTACTTTTTGTCAAGACAAGCGTTTTCCTTCTGACTTGCACCTAGGCGAGCATAGGCAAGCATCTAGGCACGTTTTTTAGAACCATGGCAGCAGGTAGAGACGTAGAGTTGGAAATTGAGCCTTTATCATAATATGGGGTGATCGGTCGATCTCATCGATGCCAATTACTTTGTGTCATTGACACCATCAGGCCTCTTGGTTACAACCATGGTGAATGATATATATGATTGATATAGAAGTCAGAACTAGGATCTTCCGTTGATGTATTAGTGACTAGACTAGTCCAGAAAACACCAGATCCTTCATATAATATTTTTTTTTTGTCAAGCTGGAGGAGGATGACTGGGACTCAAAGATGCATTAGATGAACGTCTTCTCTCCCTAAAAACCCTAATAGAAAGTCTATAAATATACTTCTATGGAGGAGGAGTTCAGTAGCCAGTGATAAGAAGACCTAGAGAGCTGCTACTCTGATGCGCCACTAGAAAGTCTATTAGATGCAAATCGGAGACAGAATTGGTGGCCTAGTCTTCGAAATCTCTCTTCTATGTTTTGATTTGTGGAGCTCCTAGGGATTATTGTTTTCACTGATGTATCCCTTGGATTTCATACTCGTGGATGGCTAGTTCCCTTAGTTGCATAGGTAGGCAAACCCTACAGGTTCTAGACTTTGTAATGTTCGATTTTACCATATATACGATGAGTTGATTTCTTTATCTTATTGGTTGATTCTGTTGGGTTACCTATTGTCAATGGATGGAGAGCTTCACGAAGCCTACATCCTTTAGAGATGTGTGCCTCGAAATCTTAGTCGCATTGGATGAAGACCGAACGCATCCATCCTATACGATTGATCTTCAATCGATCAAACTGTGTGACACCTCAAGGCAGAAATACATAAGATCCTTATTGCCTATCAGTTTCGGTAAATGTCATGACGTAAGGTAAGAGGATATCTCACATGAACAAGCACTCATATGTTTCCAGGATTGGCATTACGAGTCTAAGAAACTTTAAGGTGAGCTTGCATGTGCAACGACTTGTCCTCTTGATTTCCTCCACTTGCTTTTTTATTTTAGATTTTGTAAAACCAAAAGGAACTTCAACCCCGAAGGTACCTTAACCTCCATAGTCATGTTTTCTAAACCATAGAACTAGTCCCTCACCACCTCAGTAAGTGGTTGTGAGACACCCTAAAGAAATACTATCCTGGTCTTCGGACTAGGTAAGTTTGGCTACGTACTACAACGTGATCAAACCCCATCTAGTCCGGACGAAGCAATAAGACCCGGATAAAGTTCAAATCAACACCATCCTCACGCAGCGCCAAGGCCATGAAGATGAAACCAACTTGTCATTAAGATAGGATGAGTGGTCCATAATGCGGTGGGAGCACACACCAAGATGACGGTTGCCAACAAGTCACCAAGGTTGCGATGAGTAGTCCCCGAGGTGGTCGGAGCAACCACCCAGCTAGAGGTTACTACGATGGTCACACTTGATGGTTATCAAAAGGAGAAACGAAGATAAGCAAAAATTTCCAAAAACCAACACTTGACATTTCATGTCAAACTTTATCCTTTATCTTCAATTTAGTCATAATCATATCTTTTAGTTTTAGGAGTTGTCACTAAGCTTCGAAGGAGTAGGAGTGACTTTACGTAGTTTGTCTGAAAGTTCATAAAAAACATCAAACACCCTCGTTCGAACATTGTTCAGAGAGGTGTCAATCATTTTATTAATATTATCTGAAGAAGTTAAAGTCGCGTCTATTAATTTTGAACATAAGTTTTCTCGCTAAAAAGTAAAAACTATTCATAAGAAGAGAAGAAAATACTAAAAAAAAGGTAAATACAATATATTAGCAATTATCATACATATTATATATTTACGATGCTGACTAAGTTTACGATGCTGAGCTGCCTCCCACATGGCAGTCATCATACATATTATATATTTAATTTTAAAAATAAATAATTAATTAATTAAAAAATGAAAGGAACAAAATAAATGGCGTAGTGGTACCGCTCCTCTTCTTCTTCCTCCGCCCAGATCGGCAACGCTTTCCTCCTCCTCCGTCCACGCCATCGCCACCGGCCAGACACAACTTCGCATCCACTCGTCAGCGTTGGATGACCTCGCCTTCAATCGCCTGGATGTGGGGAGAAGAGAGCAACCTCAATCGAGTTTTGGGCTCGCTTCCTGAAGATTCGAGCTCCAAAATCGTTGACTGCCACAAAACGAAGCCCCCATCGTCGTCTTTGTTTTCGCCGCACCTTCTTTGTCGTCTCCACACCATCCCCTCCTCCTTGACGTCGCCGCACCACAATCCTCCTTGTCGTCTAGCGCCATCGCATCGCAATCCTTCTCCTTCCGCTCCCTCTGCCTTCCCTTATTATTATTTTTTGCAGATCCGATTCTCCACCGCGGCATCATCCCACATCAGTTGCAGCACCGACGTCGCAGTTGGGGGTTTCAATTGATGGGTTCAGGGTTGGATTTTCAATGAAGGGTTTCAATTATTGGGTTTGGAGGAAAAAGAAGGGAAAGAGGGACTTCGTGAAAGAAGAAGAAGAGAGGGGTAGGGATGATGCCGGCGCTGACAACAATTATATATTTAATTATTTGCTGATGTGGACGCCAAAATGGATGCTAATCGTAGCAGTCTCAGTTACAAAATAAATGACAGTAACGGACTGTTAGCCATATCTTGACCTGCAACAATCAGTGGCGGAGCTGTTCATATAGGTGGGGATGCTCTGCAGCCCCCTTGGAATAGGAGGAAAATACAGAACCTTGGAGAACTGGTGCTTCTAAATGAAGAACTGCCGATGCATTGTTGTCTGTTTCACAATTTCAACTATGACAAGTTTCCTGATTAAATCACCTGCTTATTTATACATAAAAGAGACTTTTTGGTTCCCAACAAAATAAAAAAGTATGGTCTAAAAAACTCTACAATATTGGCCGTTCCGATCGGAAATATCGTATACCAGGTCTTAAATAAGAGACGGTTTTGGAAGGTCAAATGCTCACATTATTTTCATGTTAAATTATTTTACATCGTCATAGATTTACAGTATGCAATCTACTATTTGACGAAGGTTCAAAGACGTATAAGGAGTTGATGAGTTAAGAAAATGGTGGAACAATCTTCAAAATTGGATGAGCAATAAGTCGTTGAACGATGTGTTGGTGAGATACATTGAACAAGATTTATGTGCTAGTTCAGACTATGAATGTGTTCTACGATACTTTCATAATATGAAATCTCGTCGCAATTAGTTGTAAGTATTATGTTATTGATTTTCATTTTCTTTAGAATTGATTGTTTTCTTATTTAATTATTTTTTACGATAAGACAAAAGATACCCTCTTGGCTAATTTCTGGCTCCGCCACTGGCAACAATAATTATAGCTAATAATCTATATTTCGATAATTGTAACTATAATTCACCGCCTCTTAATAGTTGTGGCTAATATATTGTATTTACCTATAAAAAAGTACAAACTCTAATTGTATTTTGTGTTTATCATCGAACGGTCATTACTCATTAGTCATTACATCGTGTAGTCACTATGCATTTGACAAATGACTGGCTTCCACCAATATCACGGATAAGATAATATATTTGACAAAGGCGAAATATTCATTGTATGCACCTTGAAGTCGATGACGATGATCATTGTTATCCAAAGAAAGATACTAAAACAGTGATGCGATGTATTATTGATGACTCGTGACAGCCAAGATGGCGACAACATATTTTTATTAATTTAAGCTAAGCCAGCGCCATTTTTGTTCCATCTTTTTTCCTTTTCTAGCAATCATATCTACAAGAACAGAGGTTGGGAGTTGGATCCTCGCAAGTTCCGACGCCATAATAAGTAGTCTGGCAATTCTGGTTGCAAAGCTTCTTACCGCCGTTGCAATCCCATTTCGCAATGCACTGTTGTGCTTCCGCCCTCATTTCGTCGCCACCTTGTTTATTTAATAGTAGCAAGAAATAAAAAAAAAACATCATATAATTACTAAATAATAATCAGGAAGATTAACAACCTGGGATAATAATGAAAGATAATTTAATTTTGATCAATAAGATAAGTCATAAGTTGCCGACATCTAGATGTTGTACAAAAGAAATAGCAAATTTTTTTTGCGACCAATAAACTAAACTATGGGTACCAGAAGATTTCGTTGCTAAAGGCCTGAGTAGATCGAACAGACTTTCAAATTCACATGAAACTAGAATTGGTCGACAAAAAAAAATCTGGATACTTGACTGTGATGAAAAAGGTAGATTATCCATAAGCTTACTCGAGATAATAAGATATGGGATCAGAGATTAGGACACAAATTTGATATTATGGTTGATTTTAAGGATGGCAATTTAAACTTGTTCTGCCGAGTATTACCCGACTTGATCCACGATGGCACGGATATTATCTGACCCGCAGTAACATAGGAAGTGACATGAATATCTACTTTCGACCCGCATAATCGGTTGTTCACTTCTACAATTTCTCAAAAAAACTCGGTGTTTTACTGGGAAGAAATAATCCAAAGAAGTGACCCATAAGTGGATGAGTGGGGATCAAGATGATTTTTTTTGAAACCTGACAGTAGGATTCTCTCACCGGAAAGAAAGGAGAAAAGAATAGGATGAGAGAGAGAGTTGTTTGGATCTGTTTTACCTAGGAAGGTGAAGAGCAAAACGGCAAGCAGGAAGTAAACAAGTACAGAAGACCTCGCCATATCTGCTTCTTCAGAGAAGATGGAAGTCTAACTTGGATTTTATTAGTTTATAATCTGCCACCTTTGATGTTTGGCTTTGATATTTATAATGCGAGCTAGCCGTGACATGTGGAAGCAAGGCTAATTTTCTGCCAAAAAGATAGATTAGGCAAGATGACGTGACAATGACATAGATAAGATGTCAAAAAGAGAAAAAGAGCAATAAACGTGGCAGCGATAGTGTGAAAGCATTTAAATTATAAGAATTCAATATTTAGGGATAGAACTCAAAATTGGAGGTCTAAGGCTTAGGGTAATCGGCTAATTAGTTGTTATCATACGTTATATCATCATATCCCTAAACTCCAAATTGTAAACCCAAATCCTAACCCTAAATCTCTAAACTCTAAATCCTTCAAATTAAAGTAAATCTTCAATGGTTTTTGTGCAAATTCATGTGCATTATTGTTCATCACATCATAAGTGATGATTGACATCATTTTTACATAAATCGCATGTTTAAAATGATGGTTATGAAGCGAGTGCACTGAATGCACCCAAAAAAGTGAGTGCACCGAAGACGCCACCTGTAAATAGTATCAAATTATTCAAAATACTTTAGCGAAATCAAGAAAAATATAATATAATACAATTACATAGACACAAGTAATGATAAAGGATGGAGACTCTTTTGTAATTTAAGTTTATTAATAATAATTCTAATATATATTCCATAACCATTTTATTTTGAGGAATTTGACAATGCTATATAGCATTGGTGCTATAAGTTTTTGCTTTTATGGTACAACTTGAAGTTGTACATTTAACGTTATGGTACAACTTCATATTGTACCTATACTCTTTTGTACAAATTCTTTTATGGTACAACTTGAAATTATACCTTTATGTGATGGTACAACTTTAAGTTGTAAAGTTGTATCATAACATAAGTATACAAATTTCTTTATGGTACAACTTTAAGTTGTAAAGTTGTATCATAACATAAGTATACAAATTTCTTTATGGTACAACTTGAACTTATACATTTAACGTTATGATACAACTTTAAATTGTACATTAAAGCGCCAATGCTTATAGCATATTGACACGCTTCTACCGTCACACTAGAAAGTGGCCAAGTGTAACCACCTACTAATGCGTAGTATAGCGGGTTTAGTTCTAATTGTCAACCCGGGTCCTAGGTGTGATGACTACTCCGTGAAAGTCTTGTTATCTAGCGGTTCAAGTGTAGTGAAGGTTCAATTAAACTAGCAAGCAAAGCAGTGACAGTTGTGTTCAAGTTGAGAGAGGTCACCCGGATATGGTTCCCCCTAGACTGCAGTTAAGCTAGGTTGTGATTTACCAAGTTCAAGTTCAATGATAGTTATACTGCGGGAGGTTCTCAACAGTCTACAGTCTCGACTAAAAGTCTCCAGACCCTCTCAATCTGAGTCCCCAGCGGGCGACTAACCTCCACCGAAGTAAACAGATTGAGGCCCTAACGAACCAAACCTCCTCTGTCGAAGTAAATCCGGTACAGAATAGTGAATTGACTCCTCGACTAAAGTCGTCAACTACCTTCAATCAAGGGTGCTCTATCAACCTAGGCAGATATTCTCTTTCTAGGTCAAAGCAAAAATAGCAGGAATTTGATCAGGATTCATGCCATTCAAGAAATCAAACCTCAATTGAATATAATCATATCACTGAATTCGTACTTGGGTTCATACAATCAGACCTAACATACAAATCTAGGGTTCTTCATACCCAGGTGAATGAGAAAGTTACTCCATAGAGAGAGACAGAAAATCTAGCTCATGCGCGGAAACCATATTGTGAAGGATGGGATTCTGCTTCTGGCAATCAATCAGCACTTCTCCAAGCTCAAGCCAGGCTCCAATGGTGATGAAGATCGATCTAAGGCGCTTGAAGAATCAGGTTCGTCACTTTCTCTCTCTAGGTATACACTTTGTCTCGCTAAAACTCGAAACCCTAAAAAATCAGCCTTCTTTCCCTTAAAAACCAGCAGGCCGCGATCCCCGGTCGTAATCCCCGGTCGGGTATTTCAGGTACCCGGCCAGGGATTTTGAAACGCAGCGCAACAGTGAAGGGCTTAATACCCGATCGAGGTCCAGAATACCCGATCGGGTATTTTTGCTCACTGGCCGGGACCCCTTCTGCCTTCTTGGCGTCCAAAAGCACGAATCCCCGGCCTCCTTAGCATTTTACCCGGCCGGGTATTTTAACTCCTGGCCAGGTATTTTGCTCTTCCAACGCCCTTCACTCCCATGTCTTCCTTTTCGACCCGAAACTCGTTTCCTCGCCTTCACGTCAACACCAAGTCCTGAAATATGACATAAACACACAACCTAGCGTGAAATCGGCTTAAAACACGAGAATCGACTCTCAAACGGCTCAAGAATTGAGGTAAAAACATGTGTAATTATTGGTCTATCAAATTCCCCCACACTTAACCGTTTGCTTGTCCCCAAGCGAACCTAACTCAAACCAATGCAGCTCTCCAGACCTCTATAGCAACAAACAACTCTGATCGTCGGTAGAGGATTTCCTAGATCATATAGCAGCTTACGAGGTCAACTGGTTTTCTAAGACGTCCCCTATCTCTCTCAATGCGAGTACTAGACTCAAGCTAGGTTCATGAGAAGAAGTGGAAGTAAGACAACTAGTTCATGGGTAAAGGGACACACACCATTCACAACCAAAGACTCATTGTACCGGGGTGCTCTTTCACTTCATTTCACCTTTGGAACCCCTTTTTCACTTTCATTTACATTTCTTTTTTCTTTCTTTTTTTTCCTTCACTTGACGGGGGTTCCAACTGCAGTCTTTTGTACGGTCGACCCTTATTAGTCGAGCAAGAGCAATTTCTGTACATCTGGCACTCGCCAGAGTACTTCTTTTAACTCCTTTTTCTCAACTCGTGTGGAGGGTCAATGAAATTAAGGGGGGTCGGAAGCTCTACACCATATGCTGGAAAGAAGATGTCAACATCTTTCATTTGTTTCAAATATCTCAATAGACGATGCTCCGCATCTAGATGATCCACTACAAAAAAGACTGGCAGAAGTGACGAAATCCTTCTGACGACACTGTTTTTTGGTTGGAAATAACCTTTTTTGTGGCAAAAATTTATTGTCCTCATAAAAATGTAAAATATTTGTCACGAACATCAATACTCGTCAATAATGTCCAAAAATTTTGTCACTAAAAGTCAATTTTGCAAACACGAGGAACACCATCTCACTTTTACTGAGGACATTTCAACTTTTGTCACAAATACAAATTATTTATGACCAAATTGAAATAGGCGTCAGAAATAATATGTTTTTCTGACGCCAAAAAGAAGGGGAAAATTCCTGAATTTTATTTTTTGAATACACAAAATTTTCCTCAGAAAATGCTGTTGGAAATAGTATTATTTGTTAGGAATTTCCCTATCTCTCAGAAAAAACAAACCTTTTTATGAGGGAGCGTATTTAGTGGTTGATAAAAGTTTGCTAGAAAAGTTACTGGACAAAATGGTCATCACAAATGATTATTTCGTTGAAAAAACTTCGTGAGGAAAACACTTTTTATGAAGAATTTATATGTCGTCAATAATATGCAAACAATGTCACATATAGAACATTATTGGCAAATTTTGCTTGTCGTTTCGTTACATATGAACAAATTCTTCGTTTTAAGAGTTGAAATTAGAACATTATTGGCAAATTTTGCTTGTCAAAAAAGTTTCGTTAATTAAAAATTCTTAAGGAAAAGGTCATGGATGTGCTCGAACCATGGATCTATTGTTCACAAAATAAAGTCAAGGCGAGTTAGGCTGATTACATTTTATGTTAAATTCATATTGCGTTGAGTATTTATTCCTAACAAAAATCTATAAGCAACAGAGCGCTCTCTGTCTTCTATGCAAATTCATTCCCTTTCTTCCTCTGCAATAAAAGAAGGAAGTTGAGCAGATTCATTCCCTTTCTTCCTCTGCAATAAATGAAGGAAGTCCAAAGAAATTGATACAGGGAAACGGAGAAAGGGAGAAGAATCGAAACAATACTTGTTTACAAACCAAAGTCCAAAGATGATGGCTTTGTCCTATAATTTAGGCATCATCTGTAAAGCAATAAAAATAATTGGCCTACATCAATTTACAAGAAAGTTCATCATTTTAATTGGTTATTACATTAGTTTTGGTCAAGAAGGCATGAGTTCGATTCTCCAAATTGCTTCCAATTACTTAATTAATTAAAAAAATTTAACCAAACTCTAAATTCATAATACGTAAATCCAACACAAAATTCTTAATTAATATTTGTACTTAATTCATAATACGTAAATCCAACACGTCATGTTCATTAGTTTTACTTGTGTGAGAGGATATTGTAGAAAACTTTGTGACATACAGTAATCAAATAGCTCTAATTGTTTAATTTGAGTTTACAAATTCATAATTTAGTGTTGAATTCTCTATTCTCAAACAAGAATCAATCAAGAATTTAAGAAACATATCGTGGTCATTTTAATATTAATAAAATTAGTTTTAAAGGTTTCTATTTATACATCGTGCCCATTTTAAGTGAGATTCTGGCTACCCACTGATCACATCTCAGTGGCTTGATTTGTGGGTTGTAGTTTACTTAGTTTAATTTGAGTATTTGTATATTTATTTTTGCCTAATTTATAGATTTATTTGTTTTATTTAATTAGAACTAAAGGGGTGGGTATTTTATTAATTCCTTGAAAATGGAAGGACAAAGTACAGAGTATATAAAAAACTTTAACAACAAACCCTAAGTCCCTACACTTTCCTTCACTCGACAACTCATCATCTCGTCTCCTCTCTTCTTCAAGTCTTTTCCTTTTCAGCAGAAAAAACGATCCAACTTCCGTCCTACTCCACATTCTGTTATATTTTCTTTCTTGGCCTCTCTGATCCTCTTTCTCGGCTATGGAGGAGAAGGTGAATTTCAATAATTTTTGTTGACTTTCGACCAGTATCAGATGACACGGACGATGACGCAGAGGCACACAGAATTGAAATCTCACCGCCCACCGTCA